GAGGCATTGTTGCCAACTTCTTTGCCGTTTTACACCCAGATAGGGTATCCTTTTTTTTTTTATCGGCAAAATGAAAATTTGTTAAATTATAAATAGAGTACAAGGGGTACTCCAACCCTTTACATCATCCTGCATATATCACGAATTACAAAATCAAAACAATCCCATTACTTAATCACCTGCTAAACCTATAAACATATTAACGCATCCTTAGGATTCTTCCACCATTGTTCTTTAGCCAATTCAGAATTAGACTTGGCCTTGATCCAGTGTAGAGAGCGTACCTTGATTAATTCCATCACAGTATCAGGAGTGTCCTTGCCTTCCTTGAAGATCAACTGGTTTCTCCATAGCTAGATGGACCAAATGACCGTGAACCAGGACACATACCAAGCTTCTTTTAATTTTCCATTCTGTATCATGCCTGTATGTTGCTGCAGATGCTTCCAAGCTTCACATGTAAGAACACCTTGTTGTCCCCACCATGCATAGAATACTTGCCAGACCGCCCAAGTGACCTCACAGGTGAAGAATAAGTGACTTGTTGATTCAATATATTTTCCACAGAAAATGCATGCAAAATCCAGTTCACCTCCAGCCATACCTCTTTTTAGCAAATTTTCACCTGTAGGAATTCTATCTTGTAAGAGTTTCCACACAAAAGCTGAAACTTTAAGTGGCACCTTAGAATTCCAAATCTTGTTGAATTGAATTGATCCTGGCTCCTTAATGCTGTTATTTAAAAGGGAGTAGGCAGATTTTGTTGAGTAGTTTCCTTTCGAATCATGCTTCCAACTCCAGAAGTCTTGCTTTCCTTTCATCAGTTTGCATTCTTTCAACAGCTTCTCAAGATCTTGCAATAAAGAAAGCTCTCTTCCCATCAGCTCCCTACGCCAACCCCAGTTCCAACTCCATTCTCCATCCCTCCATTCACCCATATCTTTAATCAAAGCCTCTTTACTTACTGCCACTTTGTATAACCTGTTAAATTTCTCCTTAAGAGTCCTCTCCCCACACCATTTCTCCTTCCAAAATAACGTGTCATTCCCTTCCCCCACACTTTTCACCAGGCCCTTGTAAACCCATCCCTCTTACCCAGATAGGGTATCCTGCCTCGTGACATTAGGCGTGCCATTCATGCGCCCACCAATTCGGGTCCATGAACATCTTCCTGAAGGCTTCCACGTAGCAAGATTTAGAGTATACCATTTTAGATTCTTAATTTGTCCAAGCACCAAAGCTTGTTCATTATCTCCTTGGAGTTTTATCCCTTTTAACTTCATTTTTGCAGCAACCTGGACGGGCTGAAGCGGTTTCAAGCGCTTTGATGCAAAAACGGTGGTAAAGAACATCTATATTCTCTCCTCCAAAAGTGAGATACCTATAGCAGCAGAAAACCAGGAGGTCATGGACTTGGTGGATCCTTCTACCCCTCTTCCCCCTTGGTTCACGGAGGAAGACTTAGCAGTATATGGAGCTCTGTATGAGAAATCCGGATTTCGGACTGCAATGGGAGTCCCATATAGGTATGTTAATCTGATACCACAATATTCATTCATACCGTATGCGTGAATGGTTACCTTTCAGTCGTTAAGCTAGCTGGGGTGCTAACTGCAGGTGACTATGTTTTTGCAGGGCAATACATGAAGAAGAGTTAGGATTGACAGATCCAAAAATTGAAGTTTCAGCATTGTTGATCATGGGTTGCAAGGATTATGTCTTCAAAATTCCAGGAATGGAAGATTACATAAAGAGTGGAAAGGTTAAAGAGCTAGTTCCTAATCTGGATATTGCATATTTGCATGGAGGATCCCACTTTGTTCAGGAGCAATCGCCTGAGCTGGTGAATGAGCTGATCCTCGGCTTTCTCCAAGTCCATAGCTGACGAGATTGTCTAATTACTGGAAAACCTAGACTTCAAAATAAGATGTTATATAATGTTTTTAGCATATTGTGAAAATAATTCAGGAGCTTCCTAAAGGTTTCTATGTGCATTTCCTCATATATAGCTGTTAAGAGTGGTAGACACATACACAAGTCAGAAAACATTTTGCTTACGCTATCATTTCGTATCAAGCAATCTCAAGCCTACGACATCAATGAAAATGGTGTGGCTACAGAAAGAATAATGAAAGAAATGAAAGGGTGGGAAAAAAAAAAAATTGGGTGGAGAAACAAAGAAAAAGGTCAATAGACTATGACACAACCAGCTACTCTCAACGGAGGAAAAGGAAGCTGTACAGAACGTCTCTTTTATGAGTTCTCATGGTATTCGGCATGATTCAATCACTTCACTCACAGCCTTATGAGTCTCGGGAGATATCATGTCTAGTGTGAGATGAAATGCCTGCAAGGGAACAAAAGATAAAAATGTTATGATTCAGCCTTAGGAAAACAAAGAAGAGGAAAGCATGCAGATGTTCTGGTTATCCTTAGATGCTTGGTCACCCTAAACCCTGATGCAGTAAATATCATAATACTTCTAATCTCATCATTTGATGTACTTAGAATAAAGACATACCACAAATCTCTCTAGCACGGGTACCAGAATTGCCAGGTTGTGGTTTGGTAGACAAGCAGCAATTGCATCACGTATGCTCCTACTGTAATGAGAAATGAAAAGGATGAATTTAGGAAAACAAAGGAAAAAGTTTCAGTTGAAAAGCAGAGAAAATGGCAGAATGCCAACCTTTCAGTTGAAAGAAATGCTAGTAGTAGGGCCGCGTAGGCTTCTACAATCATCTTCTCTGCTTCTTTCTCTCCTTGTGAAACAGCATCCTCATCCTCCTGTGTAATGCAAAAGAATGTCAGGTCTATAACAATAAAGTTCTTCAAGCCAAGAATTAAAGTGCTTCAGAATAATCGTTAAACTTCAGTATATCAAAAACCATTTCAAAATGAATTTACTTAAAATTTTAACAGCAAAAAAGATAGTCAAGGTTTATCCCTTGTTCATCCTAAAATGTGCACCCGGTCCAACATTTCATGTTAAAAGGGGATTGGATGTGTATGCTGACTGAGACTTGGTTAACTAGACTGCTTTAAGGAATTGATGAATGAATAAATAAAAAGATGTTGGGAAGGGGTATTGGGCAGGGAGACTGAGAGGAGCCACTAGATCTGATAACCCATAGTATTATAAAAGCAATTCCTTACCCATTGCACAACTTCTCCAGCTGTGTCACTAGCACCTCGGTTTGCAAGAAAGACGGCACAAAGTAGTGGAATTACATCCCTATGGCTCTCCCCTTCCAACCCTTCTAAATTTTGTAATGAAATGCTAGCTGCTGCAAGCCGTGATCTGTATGGCAACAAAATATTACTTATAATGGGCTATAGCTAGCAGCAAGATATCTACCATACAAAGCACAGAATAAGATATCTACTTTATTGTGCAAGGCATTGCAAAAAATATGAGGATGCACCGTTGACTAACAAGTACAAAGTGCAATATTATAACATTTCACATAAAAAAATCTGCAGAAAATGGCATGGAACTGTACTTCCAATTCTAATTGGGGGCCAATGAAGTAGTTTAACATGCCATTGTCCTGGTTCTGCATGTAAATGACATTCTCAGAATAAGGTCAGACATAGAGGAGATAATTAACCTGTTCTGCCCATCCTTCTCAACTAGGTTCACAAGCAGACCCAGTATGGCAACAAGGAAATCTAGCTCTTGATCAGTGAGATGCCTGTCATTCTGATGATCAAGTTCAACACACACAGAATTCTCTTCAATTTCACTCTCAAGAGACAATGATTTGCAAAATGAAGGAAAGTGGCTAGCAATCAATGAAGACATGGTCTCCAGTCCTCCACAAGAAGCAATTTGCCGACAGCCAATAGGGTTCTCATTTGCTAAATTCATTAGAACCTGAAAAACATTTAATATCCCACAATTTTATCAAAATAAGAAAATATGCTCAATCAGTACAACTGTATAGACAATTAAATCAAGTGGTAAGTCCTGTTAGATGCTAAAGTCAAGAAGGGAGAAATCAAAGTGTTGTTAAATTACTTATGCCCCCATACGACCTTAGACATTGTTCATAATCTAACCCTTCCTATAATGAAGAGTGGATCGTAAATTTATCTCCTACTTGTCTGCACTAAAGCTAAAAAGAAAAACTACAAAGGTCACATGAAATGTGAAACTTTAAGGCATACCTTGACAGCAGTGAGGAGACAATCAGAGAGAAGGGCAGAATTCTCTTCTTCGGTACTCTGAGAACCAGAGATTTCTTGAGAATGATGATCTTCCTCATTTATTGAGTTTAGTTTGTAAACTTCTGTATTATCAGATTCTAGTTGCCTCATTAACAGCTGGTCAAGATACCCATCTTCTTGCTCTCTGTTTCTTACTACGTGTTTGTTAGTCCGTGGTACCTTTTTCTTTCCCGACAGTAAGTCCCATTTTGAAGGCTCAAAATCATCTTCATAAAAAGCAAAAGGATCTTCACTATCCTCCGAAAAGTGACACTTGTCCTCTTTGGTACACTTAGAAATCTCACCAAGAGCCCTTGACCCATGACCAATTACAGGTCCATTTGAACCTCTTATTGCCTCACTACAAGAACTAGAAAAGGAAGAGTTGACTCTCATCTTGAGCAAGCAAGAATCATTCACGGATGTAGTGGTAGTTTGAGAGCTAGAAACAACAGGGCCCAATGAGCATGTGGAAGGCCCTGGATCGTTCTGAGATGAATTGGAGCTCCTTCCTAAGAAACTCCAATCCATGCTGGAGCATTTTTCTGAACTGATGCATATAACTTCATTGTTCTCCACTGCAAATTAAATCAGAGCATCAGCCATAAGAAAGATCAGGTGCCAGAAAGAGAGATATAATAATCTAAGAACCAATTAAGTACCTCCATCATCTGCAATTAGACCCATAGGACCTTGGCCTGAATTATTAGAATCATTGGAAGACTTTCCCTTGCTGGAGGATGGAGGACCCTTACATAGGTAAAGCTCTGGAAACCAGTGCCATTATTATCATAATGCAAATTGCCTTATTCATCAAAGTGAAAGTGGATGGAATCATAAAACAAAGGGCATGATGAATAACTGTAAAAACATTTTCAATTTTCTATCCAAATCTTTTGAACTGCATTTTCTACTAATTTTTTTATCAACAATTTTATAGGGGGAAAAAAAAAAGAAAGAAAAAATTAAGATGATGAAACTGGAAAAGGTTTTTCCAGGAATGGGAAAACCAAAAAAGTGAGAACCAGGCTTGCTATTTATCAAAAATATGCATTCTAATTTTCCAAAAGATAGGACATAGGGGTAACTAAAAATGTTATTGTTAATTAATTACACCGTGAAAGGACAAGATTTTTATAAACAGAGATGGAAAATTTACCATCCCAAATATGTTTCTTCTAACATTTCAGATTCTATAAATTTTATTGTCAAAATATACCACAGTTTTCCAAAGTAAAACAGGCTGAGAAATTTTGAATAACAGTTGCACCTACCTGAGAGAATCTTAATGACACTTATAACAAGCTTTGTAAAAGATAGTCGAGATCCCTGTGAATCCAAGTTTCTCTTCATTCTAAGCAAATGACTCTACATTAAGATTACCAAAAAATAAAAAATAAAAAAAATCAAGAGACAGATCAAAGTTGTCAACTGATATGATATAAGAAAACTCAAGAAGACAAGATAAGAACTCAAATACCTGATTATCTTTACTAAGGAATGTGGCATTTTCCATTATTTTCAAACATTTCAAAAGTAACACAAGACTCTGAATATCCTTCTTATCTATAACATGAGAACCAGAAGACGAACCATTTTCCATCCATCCCTGCAGATAACTTACACATTACACATCTTCACTGAATATCTGAATTTATAATAATTGAAAAATGAAAGAAATATTTTTAAATTTCCTTACACAGCTAAACAACAAAAGAATTTGTACATCAGAACTGAATCCCAAGTTTGTACAAAAAACAAATGGGAACCAGAAAGGTTTCTCATAACTCAAAGCAAAAATGCTTCCTCTTTGCACTTTAAACAAAATAGAAATGAGATAAAACAAACATACAGGCTCACACCTCCATAACAGAGTGGCAATTCAAAGCCACTTCAAAGACAGCATCAAGTCCTCCATGCTCTCTCAGTTTTTCCTTGAAATTGCCACCAATTTTCCTTACTGAACCAGTGGCATCTGAATTAACGACACCAACAGAACAAGTAAAAGCAATCAGTAAAGGGCAAAAGTAACACAACATCATATTTTGTATCAAAATGCATGTATTTATGTATAGATGCATGCATGCGCATGTGTACATCCATATTTATGAATTTCATGTACATTAATGTTGTAAATGGCTGTCATCTGCAATCACCTGACAAAAAGATATAAAAATTACATAAATCAAAATCAAATCCTCAATGTTTCTCCATCAAACCTTCAAAAGAAATCTTTGATAAGCAAGCTTTCTCCATCGTCAACAAAGCCATCCATTTTGGGTTTAACTCTGGTCTCACAGAACCAATATCTTTGCCACTTCTTGACTTCATTTCCTTGCAACCAACAAGTATTTCCTTAACTTTAGAAAAAATTGCAGCAGAACTTGCCTCAGACCGTTTAGGTGTATCTCGCAAGATGTCAGTGTCTTTACATAATGCCAAAAGTTTATAGCCCACTTTTTGTCCTTTTCCTTCATTAGCAGTAGCAGTGACTGGCTTCAACAATTTAATCAGAAAACGAATGCAACTGGGAGATTCCAGTATATGTTCATCTGACCCCTGAAATAATGTAATCATACAAGCCTTGAGGACTAATATGATGGCAACAAACATGACCAGAAAATCAATTCAATGTGAAACATACCTAAAGCTCAGATATAAGACTCGTTAGAATGATACCAGAATATAATCTTCTTAAGATCAAATAAAAAAATCAATCAAATAGTCACTTTTTCACAAATATTATGCTTCAAGCACCTTAGCATATACAAGGGTTTGAGTTTAGGACAATGGCTTGGGTTTTATTTTATCAGGGTACATAGGAGCACTCCAAATATAAACTTTTTTGTATTAAAGAAATAAAACAAAATTAGGTTATAGCCAAACCTTCGTAGTTGAAATCCCAGATCCAACTGTGTTTGCAATCATTTTCTTTTAGCATATAAAGCATCATTTTATTATAAGTGATAAATTACAAAAATTTCTTCGATAGTCATTATGAAACTTTACATGCATAACATCTTACATCACTGGTTAAAACAAAGAAGAGAGCAGCAGCAGCCAGATTGCTAGGAGTGTCATCAAAGCTGAGACCCAAAATAGCATCAATTATTGTCTTTGCCATCCTGTCATGAACATGATTCCAAAGTTAGTGTATCACCTAGAATGTGATATTATGATTCCAACTTCTGCAAAGTCAGGAAAAATACATATTGATTTAATCCATGAAAAGATGACACATGCTGTTATTAATGGAAAACTACCCTCTTAACCTTGATAACCAAGAACATGACAGACTGACAACCAAATCCAACTTCACATTATGAACAACATCTTATGTAAAAGACATTATAATCCATATGACATTTCTTATTCCCATATTTAAATTGACAAACAAATGCAAAAGAAATTCACAGATAAATTTCAAAATCTTATGTAAAATTTCAAACCAAAATCTCTACAACCATAGTTAGCCACCAAAAAACCTTGCAAAACAGCACCTCCCAACTCATTCCAAAAGCTTTTTAACCAATCTACAACACAAATTTCAACTATTGCACTCAAATCTGCATTCAAGCTCCAAAAGTCCCAATAAAACTCTTAACCAAACTTTAAAGTTCGAAATCTGCTCAAATTGACAATATCAAGATGCCAAGTTCATAAATTCCACAGATTTGTAACGGAACCAAACTTGAAATTTCAGACCTGCAAAGAATTCAAACCCCAGAACATATCTCAACATACCCTTGAGCTCTCAGCAGCCTTCTCTGCTGAGCAGTACCAGAAATAGAAAGCAAAGACAGTAGACTCGCTCTCCTGATCCTCACAGGCTGCCCCTTCTTCAACCCATCCAGCGCAAAATTCACCTCGTCGACGTGCTCCATCATCTCCCCAAATTCCTGCGTCTCCATCAACGTCGAAGTGGCCGCAACCCATGGCGAAGAAGCCCCCACCTTGCTATGCTTGTGCTTTGCCTTCTTGGATCTCCCAACGGCGCCGTCTCCCTCGTCGTCGAAATCGAAAACGTTGTGATTTGAAATCTCGTATGAGGCGTCGATTTCCTGGGAAGTAAAAGAAGAGGATCCTTGCGAAGGGAAGGGGAAGTCGTATAAATCTTGAGACGGCATCGTTTCCTGAGAGAGGGAATCAGAGACAGAGTCGTTTAGGGAGTCGGTGAACGTCCGGCCAATTCTACGATTGCGGCGACCGTAAGTTCGAACAATCATCGATTTTCTCGTTCTCCGGGGTTCGGCATTCAAACGAGAGAAGATTGGGGCATTTCGGGGGATGGAGAAGCAAAAATTCGAGATTTTGGACACGAGAATTCAAGAAACGGAAGCTCTCCGGACGCCGTTGAGGTGAAGGAGAGGAAGCAAAGAAGATTTTTAGGAGAAACAGAAAAGCAAAGAAAAGAAAAGAGAAGATTTTTATTTTTGATGTGATTTGAATCTCTTTTTGTTCTTTGTTTTGTTTATGAAATTCTGTGCGATTTTTTTTTTTTTTTTTTTTTTTAAGATCATCACTCATGGTAGATGGGTAGCTTGTTATTTGGTAACTTATATATGGTATTTAATTATCTACTTAAATATAAATTTTAAAGTTTGAATAATGTGAATGAATAAATAAATATTAAAAAAAAATTCAAATAAATTTCAACATGAAATTTTGAATTAACCAAAATATAATGTAATTATCGAACATCCAAAAGTTATTAAAAAAAATAGTGGCATTCATAATCGCACTTTGAAATCTTGCATTAATAATAGGTGTGATTACAAACTGAAAGAGCAAAGGCAAAATCCTTATGTTAAGCCTTTGAGCTTAACTTAGATTTTTTCATTCAATTTGTAAATTTTTATTAAAATAAATAAAATTTTAAGTTACACACCTAAACCTTACAAAAGTCAATTGATTAATGGTATGTGTCTCCAATCACATGAACTGAATTCAATCCCTTTCCCTTACC